TATTTCAGAGGAACAGATGGAGAGAAAGAACTTCTTAGAAAGCATTTTCTAGTAAGAAGAGACCTTTCTTTAGGCAGCAGAAGCCAACGCCTGCTGGAGGGCAAACAGCAGCAACATCCTAAACGTTTACTTAGTGCCTGAGATGTCGTGCATCGGAATAAGGAGAATCTCTTAAAAGAGGCCTTATTAGTTAAGGAAGAAGGGATATGGATGACAGCTTTTTTCCTGTTTACTCAGTGCTTTCTCCCAAGATACTACTCAAAGGGGTAGGACCCTGAAAACAATAAGTGAATCAGTTACATAGCTGAGCCTCACTGAGCTGTTCCTGTAGGTTTGTTTTCCAATGAAGGACTGTCAGCTAATTATCTCCTTGGCCACTCCATTGCTGAGGACAGGAGTGGATATGGTGTTTTCAACTTGGCTTCTCATTTATTTCTCTTTTCCTTTTTCCTATGATAATTTAAAGAAAGGCACTTCAGACTTTTAAGATTTGTGTCAGACCTTCTAAGCTGACTTTAGAAATTGCACTGTCCCATGTCCCTATTCTTCATTGTTATTTTGGACTGCCAGCAGACAAGGGAGACAGGGACAGTGAACTGCTCAGGGGCCAGTTTGCCATCATGCTGGTAGACTAATTTCTATCTTGACTGCAAGCAGTTTCTGCCCTTTCTCCCAGAAATAAATTCTCAGTATGCTCAAGATCTCAACTTCTGCCCATTCTTTAAGGTTGGACAAAAATATTTTGCTTGTTTTTCTGTCTCAGTACAATGTACTTTCTAAGTCTTAACTACTTTTGGCTCAGAGTTCTATGTGCAAGAGAGGGCTGCTTCCACCAGGTCAGAGTACCCTTAACAAAAACTTCTCTTGATAGGAATCTGTTGTACCTGACACATTATAGACATGGATGAAGGAACAGGCAATTCCTTTTTCCTAACTTAGATCAGCTCCTCACTTGTGCTAAACATCAAGCTTTGATGCAAGGTACACATTTCAGTAATAGAATCACTAGTAATAATTTATTTGTACTTAATAATATTAATGATTCACCAAATCAGAGATACTTACTCCAATGTAATTGGTTTTGATGGTGTTTAGACTAAGAAGCTACTTGAACAAGCCAAGCTCATCAATAAAGAAATACAGGCTCCTCTGGAGAGTGATCAGTGCATTCTGTCAGATACACAAGGACCTCTAGCTTGGTCAGACTTTGGTACAAGTTCAGGATCTGGAGGCTGTAGAATATCTTTGGAGGATAAAAGTGACTGGGTTACAGGGTTTTTGCTAAGGTATGTAGTGCTACTGCAGGTCAAATTATTTTGCTTAAACCCCCTTGAAAGTTTTAAATGAACCTATTTTAGTTTGTCCTTGACTTAGACTGAATATGTACACTTTTCATTTTTGAGATGGGAGAGAATATATCACAAGATGTTCTAATCCAGCCTCTTCTGTGGGTCTGTGTGTTTTGGCCCAGCACCCCATGCCCACTGTTGTCACTGTTTAAATGCAATCCTTATGAGAATGTAGAGAAACCGAGAAAATAAATGGGGAGAAAGGAGCTATTAAGCTGAGTATTTCAGTAGTAATGCCTTTTTAAATTCTATTCAGGTACCAACAGAATAAGCCACGCAGTTCAAGGAGCACACGAGGGTGGAATATTTGCACTGTGTATGCTGCGAGATGGCACACTGGTATCAGGAGGTGGAAAAGACCGAAAGCTGATATCTTGGAATGGAAATTACCAAAAAATTCACAAAACTGAGGTGATATTGCCTACCTTGAAATTACTCTGCTGCTTAAAATGAAATTCTCTTTTCCTCTGAGCAGCATTTTTAATAAATTATTTTTCTTATGAATATGTATTCTATGGAAAATCAGATCAATGGTAAAATACAATGTTTTCGTATGCTGAGTTGGAAGGGACCCATCAGGATCATCGAGTCCAACTCTTGGCCCTGTACAGGACACCCCAAATTTTCAGTCCTCAGGTCATTCCTGTGATTCCCTATTCATTAACACAGTATTTTCTTTCTAAGTTCTATGGTAACTGGAAAATAAATCTCATGTTCATATCTTCCCATATTATTTCTTCCTTTTTTTGCATTTAATAATGTGATGTAATGTTTAACTTCAAAGTATTACAGTATTGAAGTGGTTTTGTACTTTTCTCTTCCCCAAAATGATGTGAGGATTTTTTGAGGGTTTTAATACTTAAAGTTTTTCATTAATTTCTTGGTTGATGTTGTTGTTTTTTAAATGTAATTAAAATAAAATTTGAAAAATTACTCTAGCTGCTATGTAGGAACTTAAAAGATTAAAGCAGATTTTGTTTGGACAGAAATACTTTGACTGTTTACATACTGAATGTAAGAGAAGAATCAGCAGAAAAGTCTG